CTGGTCAGCCGCTCATTCTCGATCGCCACACAGGTTCACCGCATCCATCAATCTCCAGACATCTATTCCCTCGTCTTGAACCCCTGTGTTGCTTGGTCTTTTGTCTGGCCTGCTGTGGAACACTCCAGAGTCCAAACAACTCCCCTGGGCTCAGCCTCGACAGCCATCCAACAGGTATATACTTTTAGTATGTGATGATCCGCTCACCATGTCATTCCAAAAAACAAAAAAAAACCACCCAGGCCTCCTAACAATCCCATCATGCTCCAATCAATGCATTTTCGATAATCCCTATCCTTCCCAAGCACGCTTGACACAAAGCCTCAGCACTTCTTGGCCAAGCAGGTCCAAGCAGGCCAATACAAACCAACAGAAGCCACAAGCCTAAATCTTCTCGTTTGGCCCCGCAATCAATATCTTAATCACCTCCCCCTCCTTGACCTTCTTAAACGCCTCCTCCGCCTTCTCAAACGGCACCACCGTCGTCACCAGCTTCTTCACATCAACGACCCCACTAGCCACCAGCTCAATCGCCAGCTCATAATCACCGGGCCCGTATCGAAATGACCCCTTGGCGGTAACCTCCTTCAGACACAGCGCCATGATAGGAAACGTAATATCGCTATTACCCATCCCGCCCTGGACATATGTCCCGCCCATGCGCACCGTGTGCAAACTAGTCTGAATGGACGGTTCCGCACCACTCGCATCGATAACAACATCCACACCCCGCGGAAGCCCAAGGTGCTGCTTGATCGCGCGGGCGTTTTCTTCAGGCGCAATCCTCTGCGAGAGGTACGTGTGCGTCGAGGCAAAGTCCCGCGCAAAGTCGAGTTTCGACTGCACAATATCCACGCTGGCGACCTTGGAGGCGCCGTAGGCTCGGGCGACGGCCGCGCAGAGGAGACCAACGGGGCCGGCACCCATGATGACGACGGATTGGCCTGGCTGGACGGATGCCTGCTTGACGATGTGCACGGCCACGGCGAGGGGCTCCATCAGGGCGCCCTGCTGTAGGGAGACTGCGTCGGGGAGCTTGTAGCAAAAGTCGGCAGGGGAGGCCCATAGGCCGGTGAGGGTGCCGTCGTAGGGGGGCGTGGCGGCAAAGATCATCTTGTCGCAGAGGTTGTACTTGCCGGCGCGGCAGTCGGTGCATCGTCGACAGCCGTAGCCGGGCTCAATGGCTACGCGGTCGCCGGGCTTGAGGTGCGTTACCTCGTTGCCGGTTTCGATGACGGTGCCGGCGGATTCGTGGCCCAGGACCATGGGCTCCTTGACGACGAAGTGGCCGATGGCGCCGTGGTGCCAGTAGTGGACGTCGGAGCCGCAGATGCCCGTGTAGTTGACGGCAACGATGACATGGTGCGGTGATGGGAGCGTTGGCTTGGGTCGTTCTTGATAGGTGACGTCGTATGGCTTGTTGAGGATGAATGACAGATTCTGTGCATCGACAAGTCAGTTGAGTGACGTGTTAGGGGGGTTGGACCCGTCTCATGTTTGCGATACGAAGTTGGAGTCGGGAATCCGGCACAGTCCGGGGAACCTTACACTCAGCTCATCTCGGGAGGGAATATGCGTTGCCATGTTGAACAAGAAGGAGGTATGACAGTCAAGTCTGACGGGGTATCAAGGGGGCAATCGTCGGAGAAGAACAGAGCAGGAATAACGGAGTAGAGAGACGACACGTCGTGGTGGAACAGCAATGGGAAGATGGATATGAAGTATCCAGATTCTGCCACCAATCTTTCTTCATCGAATACATTGCGAAGCAGACAAGCGGATGCCCATTCCGGCGTCTCCAGTGCTCCACCAAGGCCGTTCGCGATAGCGCCGCGACTCCGCGAGGGATGCTCTCCCGAGCCGGCCCAATAGGCTTTCACGCTGCGTTCCTGTTCCTGGGGGTGCTACCGGTATGAGTCCGTATGACAGAGCAACTTGGCGTCAGATGATGTATCGGGCAAAAGATGATTTTACCCGTAGCATCGAACCGAGGCAGTATTTTGCGCTGGGCTGATGCTGGTTCGACAACTCGGTGGATTTGGATCGATCCTGGTTCGATGCTGCGCGGGGGTCACTGCGGGGGTTTGTAACTTGTCGGGGTTGTCCATGAACCGATGGCCACCACGTGACGCCAGTTTAATGTACATCCCCCGCCGCGACAGGGGCAACACGCACAACCTTTTGCTACAATATTCTTGCGATCCCTCATTCCTGAATACCTATGTTGTTCAGGTACATACCTACACCTGATGTCTCAACAAGGGATGATGATAATCGAGATGCGCCTCCACGGGGGTTGACGTTGCTGCACCATGACATCTACACCGGGAGTCTGCATCGCCAATCTACAGGCCAAGTCTACACCACAGTCTGCACCATGACATCTTCACCACGTCTGCGCCACGGACTAACAGCTCGCCTTCTCGCCTCACACACGAAACGAAGCTGGACGCCCTCGGATCGCCGGCACGCCTTGTCCAACCAGCAGTCACAGCGCAGCGCTACATCTGCCGAAGAAAGGCTCAATGACGAGAAGCTCGATGAGCTTGCATGAGACATGTGTTGCGATGCTATGTGCCGTACTATCCGGAGCGGCAAGCGGCCCACCTCGCCCCCTCGGGCGGAGCAGATGTCTGCGGCTGTGGCTGTGGTTGCATTTTTACTCGGTAGAGTCTAGGACTCTAGAGTCTAGACAGCGCTCCCTGCCCGCCTTTCTTCTCGAATCGCTTCTATGTTGTGTACATACGTACGTACCTAGGTAGTACGGAGTACATAGTACATATGTAGGTCACGACTCACAGGTTACATGCCAGGTCGGCGGTATGTACGATCTCTGTTCGTTATTCGTACCATCTCCATGACGATGCACTCACCACGACCTGGACCTTACGCCGACGACTGCCGCGCTCATCCGTCTAAGCTGCGCCACGACCAGACGTTCCAGTGGGCTCGGGGACGTTCCGACACTACGACGATGTGTCTCATGTGTCTTGTGTGTGTTTCGTGTGTTATCTGATGCGATATGTGGTGTGTCTTATGGCGTATGTTTCGTATGTGTGTGTGTTTTGGGTTGTCAATGTGTCAGTCACAGTCAGTGTGCCATCACGTAGGCGAGGGGGTGCTCCTGGTTGCAATGCAGCGTTGGCACCATTGCATCGCTATGTATTTAAGGAGCTGGCCTGTCTTCATCCTACCTGCCCATCTTTTATTTCCCTGATATCTCTTCTCAACATTATATCGAAAGCACAGCTCATCATCATCATCATCATCTATCCTACTGCTGTTGATACTTCATCTTTCTCGTGTGTCTCTGCTCCACACAGACGCAAGCTACGTCCTACCTGCCCTACTACCAGCCGCAAGCACATACAGCCACAAACCTATTGTATAGCAATATACACACACACATATATACACCATGCCCGCCGACATCATGGAAAAGATCAAAAAATCCTTCTCCAGCGACTCCTCCAGGCCAGAACTCCCCCTTGCCTGCCCCTCCTCCTCACGCTCCAACTCCGTCTCCGGCCCCGAAGACATCCGGACGCATCCCCGCTCTCCCATCCGCGGCCCGACCCCCCCAGCAAGGTAAGACAAACAACTACGTCACCCCCTTCAACAGCATCAAAGAGCCAGCCATCAAAAGCAGCAAAAGCAAAAAGCAAATAAAATGTGTTTTGCTGACGAGGAAAAAACAGCAGCAGTGACCTCCCGCGATGCCCAAACCATGACGTCCGCGACGCAGCACACTCGCCGCCCTCGGTCCTGAGCCAGTATCTTGGCCCGCCAGTGGTAGAGCACAAGTATCCGCAAGATAGCAAGTGGAGGAGGCATTCCATCAGTGCGCAGGAGCAGTATTTCACGCGATGATGAGGGTTTTTACTCTTTAGGGAATGGGGGGAGTAAGCGCGTCTGTATTAAGCCATGGTAAATCTACATGTGTAGTTTTGTGGTGCTATCTTTCTGGTGTTTCTGGTCTGTTGCTTCCTCTTCTTCTAGGGTATCATCATGTATAATCATGATGCTAGGCAAATTTCATGATTGATAACTTCAACAAATGCCTGTTTTCCTGCGCGGCGGCCGTTTGGGCTGCGATGATCGAGCATATGCAATCAAGATCACAAGATCAATGCTATGCTGGCCCTTTGCGGCAACTCACTCAATTTTGTCACGCCATATTGCCATCTTGCGAGCTTCTATCCGGCCGAGTCTGTTCGGACACGCGACCGCCAGCCACTCCCATGACGTGAAATTCCTTGGCGCGGGGAATGGTGGGGGTGATCCTTAGTGGGAAGATCATAACATGTTGCCATGATGTTGGAGAGGCGGCATGTACAGTATGTATGTACATGTACAACATACCTACATATGTAGGTATCTGATGGATCTTCCTTTGGGCTGTCGGAGCGAAAAAGAAACGGCAAAAAAAGAAAGTACATACATAGAATGAACTCATATCCCCCTTCCTCCGATGCACATGCACACATGATGCGAGTTGTCTCTCAGATCTACTCCGTGCCGTCAAATGCATGCCACGCATACGGAGTACCTATGTGCTGTAGCCTGTACCTACCTCTACGGAGTAAGTACATATTTGCCTAGTGTAACCCCCGCACTCGTTCATCTCGCATCTCGCCTTCTCATCTTGCATTTCGAACGCCGATTCCCAATATAGATATGTATGTAGGAGGTATGCTGCATGCATGTATGTACATACCTACATACGGAGTATATTACCTACATATGATCATCGGCCAGTCCAGCAAATCGCCCCTCGGCCAAAATTCCCCGCCCCAAAATAACGTTCACCGCAACATGGGAGCGCCACAGCTGCCAATCTGCTGATCTTTGCCATCTATCATCATTGATAATGTCCAGTCCATGTCCAATTTCAAAGTGAAAGCGGCAAACCCCAATCAAGGGACATGAGACAAGAAGAAAAAAAAAGAAGTAATAAATACCCCATGGATAAGTGGTGTCGGGAAGATCACCAATAAAAATGACACCTGAGGGATTCGAACCCTCGCCTATTACTAGACCGCGAATAGGCGGAAATGTCCCGAGGAACATATTCGAAACCTGAACACGGCGCCTTAGACCACTCGGCCAAAGTGCCTTCGATGTCTTTCGATGGCACTAAACCTGTCTAAGAATACTTCACGCAACACGCCTGAGGTGCGACGGAAGATGTTCCGGAAAATCACGCGCTGTGTGCCTGCTTTGATTTCTAGAGATGCATTAATTTTCTGGGCACGTGGATTACCGGGATGACATGTTCTGCCTAGGCGTCACTCGTGGGGAGGCGGGGGATTGGGGCCGGACGGAGGAAGAAGGAGGAAGGTGGGAGCGTTGGATCGTTACATCGTCTCGTGATGAAGTGCACGTGAAGGTACTGTGTCTTTGGGGATACCGAATCGAGTGATAATATGTGAGTAGAGAAAACCGATCAGCACATGCATCATAAATTGCGAAAGTTGCAAGACTGTTCCTGCGAGGAGAACACTGTTCGTCATTTTTGGGTCATGTACCAGGCAGCTACATACTCAGAGTGATGATACTCTAAATACAGTGATACAAGTCCTTGTAGGAAGTCATTTGGCAAGTTGACAAGGAGGAGAGGAAATTGATAATCTTTTCGGGGGACTATTCAGCGAATAAGGGTTACGACTTGTAGATCACGAGGTATGTGAGAAAGAAACCCTTTTCGGTCTCGAGTCGGCTTCGTGCAGAAGAAAACAAGGCCTGAAATAATCGCTGCTACTGTAGCCATGATCACATGGTAAACAGGTAAGTGCCTATTCACATGCCAAGTGACGTGTCAAGAATAACCATTTGCTTCACACCGGCGCATTCGCACGGAGCACATCAAAGCCTGTAGAATACTAGTAGGTCCCTCAGCCCCGAGGATGCTGTAGAGCCTGACGCAGCCGACACAATGGACACTTCTCCTCTGAGGCGATGTTCCGAGTGTAGGAGAAATCGTCCTGTAACTGATTTCCCTTGGAAACCCCAACGGCGTAATAATAATAACCAGCCACCTGAGAGAGCCAAGATCTGTGGACTGTCAACGCATTTCCGGTTAGTTCACGTGAAGATACTGAATCGACCTGTATGAAACACAGAACTCGATGTTGATGTGCGCGCGGTACTTGTGCATGAGCTTTTTGTTGAACGGCACGACCGACCTGTTGTCGACCTGGACGGTTCGGCGACCAACCTTCTTATCGCAGAACCACCCGTTGTCTGGGCGTGCTAAGGTGACGCCGTGATTCTCGGTGATGGTAGTGGCTTCAGCGAAGGGTTTTGTAATGCCCTTAGAACACAGGGTGGTGTACACATGAGCATTGTATGGACCAAAGATCCCGTCCTGCCTCACATCATGGAGCATCTCTTTGACCTTCAAATGGAAGACGCGGGAGGTAAGATCCGGTCGATCGTTTGCCTGCTGGCCGGGGCGGAGGTAATCCTTGATCTCGGGCCAGTTCCAGGGGTTCGCCGTGAACGTAATAAAAAATGTCGGCGGTCCAATGTGTCGCACGATGACCATGGAGTCCTGGTACCCCCAGTAAATGACGATGGCAGGATTACCTTGCGACCGAGAGTCGGCCACGGCGTCCTCGCGGAGCACAGCGTCTCCGAGGCCCACAAACACGTCGGCGCGGGTATCCTCCTGATGGTTTGTAATCCAATCGAGGCGGGTAGTATCACACGCGAGTCGCGACCCATGCGTCGATGACATATTGCTGGAACAGCCGGTTCGCGAGGAAGAGAGGGCCGACTATTCCACCTATGCGGGCCGTTCATGCAGACGAAAAGGTCGAATGCCTGCTGAGGGATGTTCATCATTCATCGCCGCGGACAACCAAAAGGACGTACGTCAGCACCATGTACGCGGCGTTCGTGACCGACACGCGGCGTTTTGACTGTGAGTCGACACCCTGTGTTCTAAGGGCTTTACAAAACCCTTCGCTAAAGCCACTACCATCACCGAGGATCACGGCGTCACCTTAGCACGCCCAGACAACGGGCGGTTCTGCGATAAGAAGGTTGGCCGCCGAACCGTCCAGGTCGACAACAGGTCGGTCGAGCCGTTCAACAAAAAGCTCATGCACAAGTACCGCGCGCATATCAACATCGAGTTCTGTGTTTCATACAGGTCGATTCAGTATCTTCACATGAACTAGCCAGAAATGCGTTGGAGCCGCAGAACGTACCTTACACAATCCACAGGTCTTGGCTCTCTCAGGTGGCTGGTTATTATTATTACGCCGTTGGGGTTTCCAAGAGAAATCAGTTACAGGACAATCTCTCTTACACTCGGAACATCGCCTCGGAGAAGAAGAGTCCATCTTGATAGAGTTAATGTGATTTGGCACATTCAAGGGCAGAAGGATAGAGGACAAGACGAAGGACAAAAAAAGGTGAGCGGCAACCCTCAGAGGATTCCGTAACGTTCTACAGTACCGCGAACGAAAGGCGCAAGCCAATGGAAGTCCTCATGACCCCCAAAGGCCACAATTAAAATAAAGAAGAGAAAGACGTGACTGAAATTCAGTGAAGATCTAGAGTACCTAATGTGTAAGTACAATGGAGCTTTGGCTGGAACACAGGACATGACCCACAGCCGCTTCCATCGGCTTCCACGTACATAGCAATCCCGGTGCAATACCTATCAAGCCCAGTCCAACAAACACGCGTTGCCAAACACGAACATAAACAACAATTCCTGTCAACGCGTCTTTAACATCTACATATGACGTATGCACATCGGACAAACCTACTCCTCGAGTCCCCGTCCTAAAAGCAAAAATAGCACAGACCCTAACACTTTGCTCTTGCTCTGCATTCACAACCTCATTTATTTTCTGTGTTACGAATACATATATGTATGTACATACAAACCTGCCTAGGTACCTAGGTACCGTATTGTATCTCAGGAGATTCGCCCTCCGTAGAGCATCCATTTCTGACGCATCAATGTTGTGACTCGTGAGGCATAACCACACTTAGGTACATTATACATACCTAAGATCGATTGGCCCACTGTTCGTTTGTATCTTTTCCCTTGCAAACCTCAAGTGAAGCTCCGTTCAAGCGCTCTTTGAGCTATGCTACCCAAAAAAAAAGGGAAATAAAGAAGTTATAATTAGGTTGCGTAGGTTGCAGGTTGCGCAGGTCGTGCAAGTTGCCTACCTGTTGCTTGAGGATTCGAGATGGTGGTATGTATGGGTCTGTTGAATGTTCTGAATGTATCTTTATTATGTACATACTCCGTACCTAGGTATCCATTATGGATGATTTGAATTGACACAGAATCTCATTTACAATTATTATCGACACGCCGACAACTCGGCATCGGGTAATACTAATAACCACCTATCCCCGACGCCAAATAAACACAGACGAAAAAAGATGTCATTATATCGTAAAGCATAGCAAGTCATTCAAACATGAACAAATAAAGTCATCATGCATAGCGAAGATGAACAAACTCAGCAACTGACACAGTACCAGATTTCGTTTGAAACGAATACGTTGAACAAATACAAAGTCATATGTAAAAGAAGAGGCGTGAAATAACAAAGGAAAAGTTCATGCATGCAGCCATGCGAGGCACATTATTTCTGTCAATCAAAATGGACTCTGCGCTCACACCTGGATAGTCTCTTCCAAGGCATTCTGAAAGGTCGCCATCTAACGCAGCCGCTCTTGGATATACACTACAGTAGATAGAGCAGAGCAACAGCGAACACTCATCTCATGCTTGCACCAGGAGCATCGCACAGTCATGGACAAAGCGCCAGAATAACCACACTTGTCGTCCGGGCTGAACACACCCTCTGGGTTGGACATGGCTTTGAACAAATTACTGGGCATGTCGTGATAGTGCGTGCAGGAGCAGCACTGGACAAAGACCTTGGCGATGGGATCTCGATCCCGAGTGGCGAGATGAGGTGTAGACTTGTGGCGGAGATGGTGACGGGTTGAATTATTCACTGCCAGTGCAGGCTTCAGTGCAGGTTTGTCGTCGTCTTTTGCAGCATTCGGTCTGTCCTGCTGTGGGATAGCGGAGGTGGCGTGGATCGGCGTACCGGCTGGTGCCTGTTTGCAGGCTTGTTCAAGAGAGGAGGCCGGCGGTGAATTCTGGACAACCCTAGATTTAGGCTTGCGGCCAAGATTGAGAGGTCTCTCGGCGACAGGCGGCTCAAAGCTGGTAGCCGTTGACAAGCTGGCTTGAGAAAGAAAGCGGCGGCCAAGGTCTGGTTTCTGGACTGGTATATCGTTAAAGACGGCAAGGACCTTGTCAGCAGCCGCTTGGATGGGATCAACTCCTCCCTCATCCTCCGAATTATCCCCGCTTGTCAATGGGTATGTTTTGCTGAGACAGGCTCTGACTGCGTCGTGGACCGAGGGAGGATCTTCTTCGCCAGACGTCAGTGGCATTTCTCGCTCGGACTGAGGCCGAGACGTCGCAGGCGTGCTGACCGACGCGGAAGAGTGGATATCATCATCGCACGATTCCTCCGAGGAACTCGCTGGCAAATGTCCGTTGTTTGCGGGCGATGACAGATACGGCGAGATCTGACTTGCAGCATCAGAAGGGGATGTCGCGACTCCAGTCGATGCACGGCGAGATTGCCTGCCCTCGGATTTCGTCACATTCTTGCAGAGGGGAAACGAGCGCTGAGTAGACGGCTGTGCGGCTTTCGTGGGAACTTGAGTATCAGAATCATGCGGTTTATGTCGAGGCAGTGTCGGAATCGGGTTGAACTCGACCGGACTGAAAACAGAGTGTCGCTTTGGGCTTCGTTGAGGAGGTTCCGGTGGATGTGGGGAAGAAGGAGCGGTGTTGTAGCCGGTCGCAGCAGATGAGGTGGACGAAACAGACTCATTGTTACTGTGCTTCTGTGCGCGTCGATTCTCAGACGGGGTCATCGGCTGCGCCAACTGGGCAGGGGCTGTCGTGGGCGGGGTCGGATATCCCAAGGCGAATGCAACGTTAGGCGGCTTTGGCGACAACAAGCTTGAGCTTGGAGCATTCGGCCGTTCTCTCTTGATAGTCAAGGGAAGATGCTCTGGTTGCCTTTTTCCGTTGAATTGGTCTCCAGATCCGCG